TTGACTGAATTTATTTTCGTCCATCTCGCGCGAAGCGCGGAGACTTTGACGTTTCAATAAATCATTACTCTTAATCCTTGTCTGAATTCATTTTCGTCCATCCCGCGCGAAGCGCGGAAGCTTTCACGTTTCATTACATTATTAGAGAAAGAATACGATTCGTTGTATCGTGTTCTTGTTTGAATTCAGTTTCCCCCTCCCGCGCAAAGCGCGGAAGCTTTGACACTTCATTAAATTATTAGAGAAAGAAGACGATTCATTGTACCGGTTCCATCTCTTAATCCTTGTCTGAATTCATGGTCGCCCATCTCGCGTGAAGCGCGGAAACTCTGACGTTTCATTAAACTATTACTCTTGATCCTTGTCTCATTTCATTTTTGCCCATCTCGCGCGAAGCGCGGAAGCTTTAACGTTTCAATAAATTATTACTCCTAATCCTTGTCTGAATTCAATTTCGCCCATCCCGCGCGAAGCGCGGAAGCTTTCAAGTTTCATTAAAATATTAGAGAAAGAAGACGAAGCGTTGTATCGTGTTCTTGTCTGAATTCAGTTTTCCCCCTCCCGCGCAAAGCGCGAAAGCTTTGACACTTCATTAAATTATTAGAGAAAGAAGACGATTCATTGTATAGGTTCCGTCTCCTAATCCTTGTCTGAATTCATGTTCGCCCATCTCGCGTGAAGCGCGGAAACTCTGACGTTTCATTAAACTATTACTCTTAATTCTTGTCTGATTTCATTTTCGCCCATCTCGCACGAAGCGCGGAAGCTTTAACGTTTCAATAAATTATTACTCCTAATCCTTGTCTGAATTCATTTTCGTCCATCCCGCGCGAAGCGCGGAAGCTTTCACGTTTCATTACATTATTAGAGAAAGAATACGATTCGTTGTATCGTGTTCTTGTTTGAATTCAGTTTCCCCCTCCCGCGCAAAGCGCGGAAGCTTTGACACTTCATTAAATTATTAGAGAAAGAAGACGATTCATTGTACCGGTTCCATCTCTTAATCCTTGTCTGAATTCATGGTCGCCCATCTCGCGTGAAGCGCGGAAACTCTGACGTTTCATTAAACTATTACTCTTGATCCTTGTCTCATTTCATTTTTGCCCATCTCGCGCGAAGCGCGGAAGCTTTAACGTTTCAATAAATTATTACTCCTAATCCTTGTCTGAATTCAATTTCGCCCATCCCGCGCGAAGCGCGGAAGCTTTCAAGTTTCATTAAAATATTAGAGAAAGAAGACGAAGCGTTGTATCGTGTTCTTGTCTGAATTCAGTTTTCCCCCTCCCGCGCAAAGCGCGAAAGCTTTGACACTTATTATTATTAGAGAAAGAAGACGATTCATTGTATAGGTTCCGTCTCCTAATCCTTGTCTGAATTCATGTTCGCCCATCTCGCGTGAAGCGCGGAAACTCTGACGTTTCATTAAACTATTACTCTTAATTCTTGTCTGATTTCATTTTCGCCCATCTCGCACGAAGCGCGGAAGCTTTAACGTTTCAATAAATTATTACTCCTAATCCTTGTCTGAATTCATTTTCGCCCATCCCGCGCGAAGCGCGGAAGCTTTCACGTTTCATTAAATTATTAGAGAAAGAATACGATTCGTGGTATCGTGTTCTTGTCTGAATTCAGTTCCCCCTCCCTCCCGTGCAAAGGGCGGAAGCTTTGACACTTCATTAAATTATTAGAGAAAGAAGACGATTCATTGTACCGGTTCCGACTCTTAATCCTTGTCTGATTTAATTTTCGCCCATCTCGTGCGAAGCGCGGAAGCTTTAACGTTTCAATAAATTATTACTCTTAATCCTTGTCTGAATTCATATTCGCCCACCCCGCATGAAGCGCGGAAGCTTTCACGTTTCATTAAATTATCAGAGAAAGAAGACGATTCGGTGTATCGTGTTCTTGTCTGAATTCAGTTCCCGCGCAAAGCGCGGAAGCTTTGACACTTCATTAAATTATTAAAGAAGGAAGACGATTCGTTGTACCGTTCTCGCCTCTTAATCCTAGTCTGAATTCAGTTGCCCCCCCCCTCCCGAAGCGCGGAAGCTTTGCCGTTTCATTAAATTATTGGAGAAAGAAGACGATTCGTTGTACCGTTCACTACTCTTAATCTTGTCTGAATTCAATTTCCCCACTGGGCCCCTTAACGGTACATGTGCAGTGTTACATGATGTAAGTATTGAACGCCCGGCAGTGCTTGTCACAGTTGCTTCTGGAAAGGATTTTTTTTTACTAGTGTTACTGTTAGTGGCAACGGCCCTTAGTGACTATAAAAAAAAAAGTATATGCTCTTCCTGGCCATTTGGGAATGTGTCAGTTTGCAACATAATGGAGTAAAGCGCATTTTGTTGAAAATCATGTGATATCACGAACATTTATACTCCATTTGTATATATGGAATTGAAAATAAGTCATGGTTCAATGGTTGAAAATAAGTCATGGGGGGGGGGGCTGGCGCCCCCCCCCCCCCACCAGTACGCCAGTGATCCTATATGTTAATAATAACTCCCTCACTAAATTTAATGAATATAATATACAATATAATACAAATATATAATACAAATGTATACTATTTAATGCATAATGTTTAACATGTCATATACTATGTAAGTATATATAATATATGAGAGTTTTTTTGCCTACGTTAACTTTCTTTCTCCAGAATATAGCCTGTAAATATGTAGACACTATATAGATAACCCGTCACCCGCCCTCCCCCTCCCCCCCCCCCCAAAAAAAAAAATAAATAAATAAAAATAAAAAAATAATAATAATAAATAAATTAATTAATTAATTTTAAAAAAGAAAATAAAAAAAATCTAGCGATGTTGATGATATCTAATGTATATTGGCATACCGATATAAACTGAATGATATTATTGTCTGCCATAAATGTGGCAATCATTATAGTATTACCTCCACTGTATCGTCTCTTTACCATTCTGTAAGGGAATGGCAGAGAGGGACGAAGAAAAGGTATACTGCAAAGCCCGAATTGTATGAGATGACTAGGTCTCTATGGAGACAATACCATTAATCTTGCTGTATAAAAAGAAAAGAAACACCGAGAACATCAATAATAATTAGGAAAAAAAATTATGATTATAAAAGTTGTGGCCGCTGCTATATTAAGGATATGGGCCCTTTATTATGACTTCCCTCAAACTTTGCGATGTCGAATTATATTCCATTAAACAAATCTATTTATAATTTAAAAATGTCTTTATATTTTGATGACGCAATATTCATGAAAGATTCAAAAATAAGGTTGGTTTTGGGGATAGAACGGGTAGACATCTCCGTGGCACAATAATGTTTGTGCCACGATTTTATATTTTATCTTGAATAAAGAGTATTTATCATGTCTGTATGTCAATATTCTCAACTTCATAATAATATTCAACAGTCCCTCTCCGGTTAATGTAGTCGTTCTCATCTCTGTAATCATTGGTATATAAAGTAATCCATAATCTCCAACGATAATTTGAATCACTACATTAGCCTGGGTTAGATCAGATGGCACTGCAATGGTGGCAGTGTTATCAGGATTTTTAGTTATATATTCCCTATATTAATATATTCCTAGTAATGAAGAGATCAAAATCTCAACAATACTCGGGTCCATTATTATGCCACAAATACTTTAAAAAATGGATGTAATTATCCGTAATAATATAGCTGGCGCTCTTCAAAACTCAATTTCTTACTTAGCGATGAAATTCTTTTCAAAGGCGACTGTTTCCATTGTTGGGTGAATTGTCGTTTTACATTTTTAAACCCTTGAAAATGAAAGGAAACTCTAAAGATGTAGAATAAATTTATAAATGTGTGACTTAAACCCTGGCATCTCAAGGGAGAGAATTTCTTTTATCTTTATTTTGTATTGTCCCGCGCCCCCTAAAAAAAGCACTTGCATGTACGAGAAATCAGAAATTTGCCGTTGCCAGTTTGTAGATATCTTTAAGTTCTTTGAAACGTCTATCGGGTCCATTGATCCGTCTCTCATGCGGCCAGATCCAGAATCCGTTACCAACAGGCATAACATTTAAAAACAAAATGATCTCATGGGGTTTTGCATTATCTTGTCAGGGTACGGTGAGCACATGCCTTACAAGTAATTTTTAGCAGGTAAAGTTTGTGCCCCTAGCTTCCCGACTTATTTGTGCCCCCCCCCCCCCGCCATTATAGGGTCTCAGAATTGCAGTGTAAATATGAAGATATACGGAGGCCTATACAAAAAAGATGTTGTATTTCCCTTAAGGTGCCAGCACCTGGGTCGGTCGGTCGGTTTTTTTCCTTCTCCTCTTTAGGCTGATATTTTAAAGTTTTGAATACATATTTTTTGATTCATTAAACATTTTATTTTTTTAACGTAAACAACAAAATTAATAAAAAGCCGACCATAGATATTAAAAAATTTGGGTCGGTCGCAAAGGGCAATACAACAACTTTTTTGTTTAAAGCCTACTTGCTGGAACCGTGGGATGGGGAGGACATGGTGGCACATGCCCCCTACAAAACAAAATGTTAACAAATAATTAAAAAAGTATGCAGAAACTTTTAAGTGTGTGTGCCCTCGACCAAGTCTTGATTATGTTTTGTTTTGCTTATTCTTTTGAACGTGAATAAATATTAGAATCTTCTTCTACTTTTCTGCCCTTATTCATCCTCCCTGCTGATCTTCTTCTTCTTCTTCTCCTCCTCTTTTTCCTTCTTCTTCTTCTCCTCCTTTTTCTTCTTCTTCTCCTTCTTCTCTCTCTCTTACTTTTTATTATCATTATCATTATTATTATCATTATTATTATTATTATTATTATCAAGTTTTAGGAGTATATTATTCTCCCTCTTCTCCTCCTTCTCAAATTTTTTTTTGTTGTTGATCATTTCAGAGATATAGATTTTTTTTTAAAATACATTTTTAGGTACGTACCACCGACCAGAGAATTTTGAAAAACGATGGGATACATATACAGCAGTATGGTGAATGAAATTGGTGCATTTTGTTTTCCCAATACTCCAAATGCAAAGGCCATTGTATGATCGCGCTATACCTAGCTGGGGATACCGAGATTATCGATATTGGGCAAAGATGGCGCAGTCCTTGTCGGATGATGAGTTCCAGCGAATGCAGGTAAATATAGTAATATTTTGCTTTTTACTGTGTCTATCAGTTATTAAAACGTAAAAAGTGGAATGTGCAAAAGATACCAGGAAGTTCATGTTTAGATTACTGGGCGAACCGACTGAATTTGTAGCCTTGTAGGATTGACTGACTGATTGATTGTTTTTGAAGAGGCGAAGCCACGGCAGGCCTATGGCATAGGAGCAGGCTAGTCTATGCCAGGCGAGGCGCTGTAGGCCGTACATGTACGGTATGGTGCCATGGCATGAATGGTTTGATCAGCTGATTGGGGTTATGTGTTATGACTCTCTTATAATAAAGCCTCTTTTGCCTTCAGATTTAGTGAAAACTGTTCATCAACTAGCACTGACCATCATGAATAATTTGTCCTGTATGACTATGATATGATAACATATTAGACCTAGTCCTAGTCTATTAAGTCTTGGAAGATTTATGAAATGTTCATTGCTTGTAAAGTTGTATTTAATATGTTGTAAACTTCTTCAATCAAATTGCTGTTTTAAATCAACTGTCCGGATTCACAAGCTGTGTGGGCACACAACGTCTGGGTATACAAGCATTTGTTCAGATAGTTCTCTGCAGAAAATCTGTGAGAATATGCCAGGGTGTCAGGGATGTGATCACTTCTACAAAGGGGTTTAAAGGGAATGTTATCCTTTTACTTTTTAGTTGACACTAGTATAAATGTAATTGAAGATTAATCACACATAGGTTTGTCACCCATCCATCTCCATCATCACTCAGCATCATCAATCATCATGTCATGACATGTCCATGGATTGGTAGATTAAAGAATAATGCAGTATTTTCTAAATATTATTAAAGATAAACTCCAGTTCTGGTAATGCGATTGCATTGTGAAAGAAAAGGTGTGGAATGGATCAGAAACAGTTGATCATGTAGCATGTAAGTATTGGTGTGCACTGCCATGTTCTGGAGTCATCAAAATCATCATAAATTTGGCCGAGTCTTGGTAAAGTAACAAGCACTGTACACAGAAAGCTATATATGGGACAACACACATGGTGTCGGGGCTAGTACTACATACCTTGATTTCCTTGTCTTTCTATGCTCGTTACTCAGCCAGTATACATTTTCTTCCAAAATTATTTGGCACATGTCATTTATTTACAGTAATCTTTAACATTCAGTGTAAGTTTCGTTTGATTCTGTGAGAATTAATTTTCTTTTTTTTACCAGAACTGGAGTTTATCTTTAAGCTCCAAGGTTATTTACACATAACAGTTTGATCTAGAACCTAAGAAGTCTAATTAATTTTCTACAGTTACAAAAATAATTTTTCGCTATCCATTTGCTAAGATCAAGGAATCCATCTCTTGAAACCGATACTTGTTGCATCCAATGGGAGCGTGTTTAAAAATGAACCCTAATTACCCTATGCATACCGGTATGTAAAGGGGATGTCCACAAACGTATCACTTGATGGTTTGTGAGATGGGGCCCAGTAGTATTGGAGTTGCTAAAGTAAAGAAGGCATGACACTCGAAAAATTATTGTCTCCAGGGATGGTATTCTGAAAATCATGTTAGCAGAACAATGTTAAATGTCATAACAAATCAAAATTAGGACATGCCATTGGTTAATATCAGCGCAAAGCTGGCTATGCTCCCTTAAAATCAAAAGAGAAACCTTATGCCTTGGTCACAAATGCCATTACGAACTGCTACGAACGCCGTACGAACGATTTTCAGACAATGGAAATTCGGGAAGACAATGGAAAAACGGAGATTCGTACAAAATTATCGTTCGTACGAACCTTTGTGACCATAGCATAAGCAATCACCCATAGTACATGTAAGTGTTAGTTCTGTGCATTTTTATATTGTTATGCCAATTAACATCATTTTCAGAATATGGCCCAAAATGTGTCTTCTTCTTGGAACCCATAAAACCAGTTGTATCTATAGTGCACCTATCAGTATGAGAGTAACAGCAAGGAAAATTCCTGCTAATTTTTCTTGATGTAAAGAAGGGTGTGGAATCTAGTATTCGGCAAACAGAAAGTATATTCAAATCAAAGCACTGAATTAATGCAATCCCCAGTCAGCCCGATTTCTAAGTTGGTCATTTACTTCTCCTTTATTATATTGTACAAATTTTGCCTGTTTACCGTAATGCAATTGTGATACAAATGATATTGAATTCCTTTTTGATGTTATTTTTCTCCCAATTAGAATCAATTGCTGGAACTCAGAACAGCGAACTATCAATTTAAAGACCACTCAAAGAAGTTAGAAAATGGTAAGCATTCAAAATCAATTTCTTGTGGGGGGAGGGGAGGGGTGGTTGAATAATTTAATGTTTATATCTTTGGATTTTACACCTGGAAACTAGAAAAGTAAATATGATAGTGTTTCATACAGCAAATTATTTACACTATCCTTTCTTATTCATTATTGCCCTTACAATGGGGCTTAATTTAGGTTGGTTGTCTTTTTAAGAACTCCGGTATTACACTATGCTTCCTGTCACTAAATACTTATTATAATATCTAATTTCATTCCACAGAGTTGAGCCGATTGAAACAAACATCTGCTGCAAATGAAAAAGAGCTTGAAAAAGCTAACAAGGTAATGTATTATTTAATTGTAAAAATAGCATGACTTGTTAACTACAATTTAAGGATTTTTTTTCTTCTTCATTTTTCATTATATTTTCTTATTATTTATGGGTGACTTCCAAATTTTAATTCAGACGGTAATCATAGGCTACATGTACATGTCGCACATAATTTGAAAAGGGAAGGCTTAATTCACTGTTGAGAGTGCCACATTTCATCTTGAGGTTTTTTTAATTCTTTTTGTCTCCTCTCTCTGATATACCGGTAGTGAGATTGAAATATATTGACTTGAGAAGTACAATGACCATTCTAATACTTTCGTATATGTACATTGAGTGAACAATTTGATACATTCATAACATTGCTCCATCTTTGTGTTACAGGTTATTACCAAGAGCAAAAAGGCAAAGGTACGTTTAGCAGTAATTATTGATACTCATATTTTATATTTTTGCTTAAAATAGTTTGAATCACTGATAAAGATCATATGTAACTTGTCTTTGTTTCTTTCATCAAATTTAAGTTTATTAATATTTTATTCATACTCATACTGACATCTTTGTTTATAATAGTTTCAATCAATGATGAAGATCATGCCTTCTATCTGTTCTTTTACATGTAATATACATGTATGTTATCATTGATGAAGATTAAAATGATTTAAATGCATGATATATTCTTTTTCTTTTCTATTTTTTATGATACAAAGACATTTTTGTGATATTCCTCAATGTTCTCAAGCTCATTGATACATAAACCTTAAACATGTTGATAGACAATAAGAAATAGACTTCTCCCATTGATGAAATCCTTCACTGTTTCCTTGATAGGATGTTGAAGCTCTGTTTGCGGAGAATGATGGCCTCCAGCTCAAGCTCCAGAGCCAGGAGGATGACTTCCGTCTCCAGAACTCCACTCTCATGGAAGAACTCTCAAAGGTCAGGATAAGCCATTATAGTCAAACCTGTCTACAGCGACCGCCCAAGGGAAACACAAAAAGTGGTCTTTGTAGACAGGTGGTCTTTGTAGAAAGGTTTCTTTAGTACATGTTTCAATGAGAAACCATTTTCAAGGGAAACAAAAAATGTGCTTGTTGTAGACAGGTGGTCACTAAAGCAGGTTTGACTGTATAACTTTTCTCATCCGCTTTGCATGATCAGTTGAGTTTGAATGCATTTTAAAGAGACTTTAAATTCATACAATGAACTTAAGAGCTGGTCTTCTTTGAGCAAAAACAATAACTCTTTACTATAATCATTCTCAAATCTTTTTCCTGAAGTTTATGGGGGAAAGATATGAATATGCCTCCCATCTGAGAAAATAGGTGCTGAATGTCCCAATTTATTCAAGTTGTCCATTGCCATTCCCATCAAACTTGAGGACACCAATATGGGAACGATTGATTGATTTATAGTTATAGTTGTCGTATGGGATAGGCCCTTTGTACTTGTTGGTCTGGTACATCATACATGTGCTTATATTAAAAATCATGCTAACTTTATTCCAAATTGTAACTCCATTGAATGGCTAGAATTTATTGACATGTTCATATTCATTTCATAACTATACAAATTTCATCTATTCATTTGTTATGGAACAACAGTAGTTTGTAGAATGACTCTTAGTGCTTCATCAATCATTGGAGTACCAGTAAATGTAGGTTTAATGGAGTTTGTTCTATGAATGCAGGTTTACAGGATTTGTTCCACAACCCTGGTGCTTTGTATCAAGTCATGATGATAATTTCATACCAATATCCAGGTACTTTGTTACTATCAGGAGAATAACAAAATGTATTTCTGATTATACCTCAAAATTACAAACACAACATGAAATTCAAATCTTTGTAGGGCAGTAAGCACTGTAGGCTCACTATGATTATCTTTTGCTTTTAATGTTGCAGCTGTGTACAGCAAATGAAGAGCTAGAGAAGGAAGTCAGTACGTTGAAGAAGGGTCATAGTGCCAAAGACGAGGTCAATGGAAGCCCCTCATCGGGGTCACAAAGTGACATCAGGAGACTTCAAGCAGAAAATGCAGCTCTTCAGAAAAACCTTGCCAGTAAGTAAAGTAACATTTTATTATGTTGGATGGATGGATAGTTGATTTAACCCTAATTTTAAGAAAGTCTTTATAAGCTTGTAAGGAAGCAGGAAATGACCTATGGTTTCAGTCTTATCCAGGGTCTTTTTTTTTGTAGGATGGATGTCCTACTTACCCAAACACAGGTACGCTAACAAACATGTACATGTAGGTCCTGAACCCAAGGTATTTCAAATGTAAAATGTAACAAATTTGAGGATCCGTCATTTGCTCATGCCGAACCTTACCAATGGAATCAGTGGCCAGAAGGTGTTCATAATATTTCAACTGTAGATTGTTTTGAAATTGCCCTAAAAACTCATCTTTTCTAAAATGCTTTCCAGTAGATCTACTACCCTTTTGTGTATTTCCATGTTCCTACTTTTCTTTTGGGCCTGAGCACATTATTCATGAGGAGCTGGTGCCTTATGATTATTTATAGTAGGTACTCTCATTTTTCTATCCTTTATGAAGACAGTGTGGCATTACATTTAACATTTTCATTTTTTTCATTGAAATTGTAGGTACTCAACAGAGATATAATGATGAACTCAATGGAATGAGACAAAACGTAAAGTGAGTACTGATGAACAGTTGTCCTACACGATGATTTAAATTTTTCCTTCTTCATTTATTATTTTTGTAAATACTTAATTGGCGAATTGTTCAGACTTTAAAAATAAATGCTCAAATTTGTTGTTTGAATAGTGGAAAATTTGTATTCTGTTACACTTTTTTTTCTTCTATATCATTGTAGGTCAGTTATTCATAGAATAAACATTAGGACATATTCTTTAAAAATAAGTTTTACACAAAAAAAGAAAAAAAGATTAGAATATGCAAACATTCTGACATTATCCAACCAAAACCTATAGCATGAATGCAGTGTAAGATTCTAACATTTCATCACCATCCCTGTTTTCTGTACCTTCTAGCATGTTGACTCAAGCATGTGCGGATGCTGAGGAACGCTACACCAGGCTGTTAGGAGAGCGCCCCACTCCAACAGGTGCATCAGGAGATCAGCCGGAAGGGGAACAGATGGAAGAGATACCCATCTCAACTCCTGATGGGACCGCATCTGATCAACAGTCACCCCTGGAAGCAGGTCAGATGTCCATTCTTTCACATTTTTCATCCCTTTGTATTCAGTGTGGCTCATTGTTTTTTAATATTTTTTAAAAATGTTATTCAACTATGTCTTTGCTCTGAAATAGTATCATGTCAATTTCTTTTGATGGAGCAAGTTCAAAAAAGTGATCGCTTTCCATGTCAAGCTTTTCCATTATCAAACTAGTGCTGAATGCAATTGTGGCTTGATGGTTGTTATGGAGGTCTGTCATGATAAAATTGTATTGTGATATTTAAGAAGGACTATCTTTACCCGTTTTGCTCTTTTAAATGTGCTGTGGTTTATAATATATCTCTTCAGAGCTTGTTTGTTGATATTTGTTATAATTTGTTTCCAAATTTTTGCAAAGCGCATGATGAAATAATGTCTATGGAGTATGGTTTTAAAAAAAGTTACATTTATTCCATTAATTTGAATCCAGCAAAATGTATTTATAATGTGGCCGTGTCCTCAATTTTATGATTTAAGTTACCGGTAGTGCCTTAATAGTAAAAATTTCTCAAGCAATGATTTTCTTTATTTGCACGAAATCTGCACATGTTAAAGTTTTATACACTATATGCATGTACCCTATTTTAGTTTTTGTATTTGTGTTGTGTATACAGAATTAAACCACTTATTGAATGATGAATTTGAAGCCTTTATTGAGGACCTGAAGCTTTCAGCTGTTACAAGTGACTTTGATGATGATATTGAAGAAAAAGGTTTGTATCTGTCTGTTTCCTTTGCTCAAACATCTTCAGCCCATGCATATTTTGTGTATTAAAGCAACCCTAATTATATTTTCTCAGATTTCTGTGATTTGGGTTGATAAATACTTCATATTTTAAGTGGATGGAATTTTTCTTCTCTCTTCCTCTTTCACACCTTATTAGGATACGGGTAATAATCTAATTAGATGTGATAAAATTATTGATCATGACCTAAGTTTTGTAAATTTTCTTGCATGACATTCATATACTGTTGAATAGTTAAGTTAATTATACTGATACAACAGGGTCTTATTATTATAAATGAGCAAGTTTTATGGGTGTTTCATGCATTATAATTACATGTATCAGTATTGACTTTTCATCTGCATTATATATGTCTCACTTATATGTTCTGCCCGTGTGAATTGCATTCAATGTTGTTGTCATGACACTCTATTTTCTTTTATTGTAATTTGCACTGAAAAATTATTTGAGCATGATTTGTATTCTGAAGAAAAAATTATTCTGTACATGGTTAGTTTGAAGTCTAAAAAAATGTAATTGCTCTTTATTGTGTTGGATTTATAGTGAGACTGTGAGATCGAATTGTAGAAACCAGCAACTGTATTTGGAGTAGTTTGTGGTAGTCTTTATTACATTTTTACATATCAACAAGGAAAGCCTCTTTTGAATTACATATATATATTCTCTCTTTCATATGCTGTGGTTTGGGAATTATTACATGACATTTGACTGAGGTGTTTAATATGCAGTTACTATTGTTTGAATCTAAATGTAGAAGTTAGCCACATCAAAGATAAGCCACCATAAACATTGATATACCAGCATTTCTGATGTACGAATTGAGATCGGTTGTGTTACAAGATCTGGTTGGTTACTTTTTGAAACTCACTACAAAGATTATGACCAATATTGAAATGTAATGAGGTTATTCTATCTTTTTCAGTGTTTTGATACATTCCGGTATGTATTAAAAGATCAAATTGAAGTATAAGGCATTTCTAAATGTAATTTCTCACTAGGTTAACAGATTGCATTTAGCCATTTTCATATCTTAGAATGTACCATTGCACTTGCAAGCAATATTGTTTGTCATATGAATCATACAAAAGTTTTCAGATGAATGATATGTTTGTATTTGGATATTATTTGATGTAGATCCTATGACAGTACTACAAGGACATGCCAAGCAGCTGAAGAAGAGAGTGAGTGGAGCATTGGTTAGAAACATGGAGAGCTTTGTCAAGATGGTCTCAAAAGGTAAGTGCCTTTCTTCTCTTGGTTAAGGATTTCTGTAGAGAAAGACAAAAAAATTCTCTGAGAAGGGAATGGAAGTGATAACAGAAGTTGCATACTAAAGCGGACATTTTGCTTTGCTTGTGCAAGGACTTCGCTGTGGAATGCTCTCCCTCGAGAGATTTATACTAGCAGATCAATTTGGGTTTGTTTTAAAAATGGAAAAAAAATTACAAGTGCTCCTGGCATTTGTTTTTAAGTGGATTTGTTCCTTACAACTTTCATATACTAATTTTATTATTATTATTGTTTTTTTAAATAATTACTATGATTATGATTATTATTGTTATTGGTCGTAATGTCAGGCAATATAAGAGATTTCCAAAAATGTTTTAAAAGGAGACAAAACGTAGGGAATCCTTAGATTTTGTATAGTTCATTCAAAACTGTTGCTAAAGCCCCAGTCCCATATAAAGCCGGACCAGCACGGACGAGCACGGACCACTCCGGACCATCCCGGACCATGGTCTGGGGTGATCCGGGATGGTCCGGGATGTTTTGTTAAAAAAAGTGTGATGCTTTTAAAGCTACAGTCCCATATACGTCCCGGACCGTCCCGGACCATCCCGGACCCCATCCGGGGTGATCCGGGATTCGGTCCGTGTTGACACCGTGTTGGCACCGGGGTGGTCCTGGATGGTCCTGGATGGTCCTGGGCGGTCAATAACTCACTCCCGGACTGCCACGGATCAACACGGACCGCCCCGGCGCCACTACGGATGACCCCGGACCCAGCACGGTGGCTACACGGATCACCCCGGATCAAACTATTGTCCCGGACCGTCCCGGACCACCCCGGCAGTTTTTGACCGTCAAAAACATCCGGGGTCGACTCCCGGACCGCCCAGGACCATCCAGGACCATCCAGGACCATCCAGGACCATCCAGGACCACCCCGGTGCCAACACGGTGTCAACACGGACCGAATCCCGGATCACCCCGGATGGGGTCCGGGATGGTCCGGGACGGTCCGGGACGTATATGGGACTGTAGCTTTATGCAACAAGAAAGCAGACTTTAAAACAATTCTAAGATGGATTGTGGTGGTAGTAGACTATTATCTGCTGCTGCAATAAGGCTGTAGTCACAAAGCCTTGTTTACACTTGATAGGAAGAAAAAAAAACACCTACATATGAAAACATGAGGTAAAAAACAAACATGTGTAAATAAATGGCGGATAGAGATAACAAAGAACATTAATAAATATAAAGTTAGCTGTGTGCGACAAAGGTCCCTAAGAGTACTTACTAATCTTGTGTGTTATGTGATATGAAAACAAAAAAGGTATTCTGCGTACATCAATATAATTTACCATTTTCTTAATGGATGGTAAACTCTGTCCTTCAATTATAAGGCTTAAAAAAAAAAAGTTGTTGCATTGCCCTTTGCGACCGACCCAAAAATCTTAAAATCTACGGTCGGCTTTTTATCAGATTTTTTTTTAAAACAGTTTTTGGGGGGAAATGTTTAATGAATAAAAAAAAATATGTATTTAAGCATTAAAAACTGAAAAATATCAGCCCAAACAGGAAAACAAAGCACCAACAACAGCAAAATTGACCGACCGACCCAGGTAATGGCACCTAAAGGGCAATACAACATCTTATTTCTTTAAGGCCTAAGCCGGCTTGAACTTGTCATCCAATGGGTTTTGTGGTACAACATTTTGATACTGCAGAAATTTATGTTTTCTTTTCTCTGTATTTTGATGGTTGTTATTACAGAAGAGGGAAGAATGAGCAGAGGAAATTCATTTGCAGACCCAAATGAACCAGTAAGATTGCATTCTCTTATCTCTTCTGTCATGAAGTCATGCTTTTATGAATTCTCACATTCTCTCATTCTCGCATTTACTCCCTTATTGAGGAACATGTCACTTCTTTTTTTTTAATCAGCCACTTCTCTGCTTAACTAAATATTTGTAATGTTTGATTCTTATCCACTCTAGGTTTTACCAGATAGAGATTATATACTGGCATATGATGATGATGATGATATTGATGATAACAAAAACCAGAACAAAAATTATGTTAATGTGTAAACAGAAAGAAAAAAAAATCTTCTTGGTCATACATGTTTACTTGTGAACTTTTCCGTGAAACATGAAACAACTATCTCATGAGAAATTTATCTCAGAAGGAGGAAAGGAATGAATGTAAAAGGAAACCAGATATATTAAGGTTGTGATATCATTTGATGTAATCTATCTTTCTTTTCAAGCAATGTGATCTGAACATGTCCAAAATAGATGAACACATGAGAGAAATAAATGGTAAGTTTTAAGAAATACACATTCAACCTGAACTGTTTTTTCTTTCATTCACGCAGTCTCCTTATATTTCGCAGCATAGTGCATAATTTTACTTTCATTTGAACAAATATACACTTTTGGGCAAAGTTTGCAGTAACACCACATATTATTACCACAGGATTAGTTGATCCTGAGAAGGGCCCACTCATGCTTTATTTCGACATTTTGATAGGTGTACCTATCGTCTTTAGGATGATTATTTACATAAAATCTTGATGATTGTTTCTAATAAAGTGTGAATTTAGTTTTTTTCTAATAATAATCAAATGTACTTATATATTTTTAATGATAACTGTTGAATTTGATATATTTTTGTAGTGGATAACAAAATAATATGTAATAGTATTATATATTGTAATATTGTAATTTATCAATGTATTATTCTTTAGAGATTGAAAGCTGCTTTACCTTTTCAACAGTTGCTGCAGGAATCATACTCTGACTTTCAGCAATGGTGGCAAGAATTGACTTGTTCTCTACACTAGCTGTCTATTCCTTGAAACCAATTAATGTTGTTAAAATAAATTCCATTTTCCACCAGATTTACAGCTGAGAGTAGATACAGAGCAAGAAGAAAACAAAATATTAAAACAACAACTCCAAGACAGTGAGGTATTAAACAATTGTATCCTTTTTTCATTTTCCACTTTTGTTCAATATTAATGCTTTCTTTATAATGATATCAGGTGTCAAATAGAAATTGACCATTATTCACTTAGGTTGTTAGAACCTGAAATATTGTTATGGCAGAGGGAGGAATATAAGAATTTCTAATGTGTCATTCATTTGCACAGGTTTCTATATTAATGTCAGGGTATGTGTTAGATTTAAGCAGTACTGTCCTCAATTTTGTAAACTTCTATTTAGCATTGAGAATAAGAAAATAAACTTTCATTTCTTGTTCAAAGAATTCAAGAACAAATGGAGTAATAATTAACTGACTGAGGCATGTATTCTTAAATTACATCCCAGGTGTAAAATGGGGAAGTGCTCATATTTTAAAATTTATTTATATTTGACAGAAATATTTTTACTTTTATCTTACTATTTTAGATGTACAACACAAATATCTGCCTAATTATTTCCCACTACCACATATTCTTTAAACTAATTATAACGTCCTGCTATTTTCAAATTAATTATAATGAACTGACATTTTTCAAACACTTTATTTTTGCACAGCAATCATACAAAGCAGAGATTTTAACCCTGCAAGAAGAGCTACAAAAATTGTCAGAAAAGGCCAAAAAGAAACAGGAAAGGTAAGTTTCTTGTCATGTCTGTTTGTCAATATTATTAATGCTTCATGATGGACAATATGATTGGGATATTAATGCTTTGATTCAATCTATTCTTAGTGATCATATTCAAAATTCATTAAGCATTTAATACTTCCACAATGTCCCTAAGTGCCATACACAGATAAATAATTGATTTGTTAAAAATATATTTATTCTATGATTGATATGTGTGCCGATTAATGCCACGTAAGGAATATATTTTGCTAAATAAAGATATTTGATAAACAAAGGAATTTTCAAATAGATTTCCATGCAATAAACAATGATTTAACAATTTATTTTCATGTTATATTTTTTCTTTCTTTTCAGCTTATTGCAATTACAGAATGAGAAAGAGGAATTATTCACCCAAAACAGGTGAGTTGTTAATCTTTATATCATTGCAGCATACTTAATTTTCAAGATATGTACATATGTCCTTAAAGTTAAATATGCACCAGAACAGATGTTCAGGTTATGCAGAGGTCTGTTGTATCAGACTGAATCCCACATTCCTGACTTCACATTGGTGCTACAGTAAAGTCATAATCTCCTTATGACATAGAAGGTGATGTTTAAGTAGGGGTCATACAGCTCACCTGGCCTTCTATTATTACCCTATCATACATCTTTACATGTGTAACTTGATTATCGATTGATTTGTAGCTTTATTTTATGGAAATAGAACTATGTCTTTAGGACATGGACCTTGTAAAATATCTGTGCAACTTTGAGAAGGCTAAAAAGTATCAAAATCGGAAATCAGAGACACAGAATAATCAATTTGCGTATGAAACTATAATTCATTTAACATTTGCAAGTCAGTGACAACTTCTAAAATTGAGTATCGTCATTATATGGATTCCAGTAGTCAAGTCACTTAATCTTGCATTAGACAAGCATTATTAAGTGAAAGCTATATACACTAGATTACATAGACCCACTCTTGATCGTAGTATTGTATCTTTCTGTTCCAGACAAAACGTTGAAGAGTTACATGGATCTGTGGACAAGGAAGTTGAGGTAAGTGCTACAAGCTCATAAAAAAGGGGAAATGAATTTAGGAATTACTAGTGTGCAAATTAACAGCAGGAATTGTATTTTTTTTAATATATCAATACATATCTACTGTTTACCTTTATTTTTTATGGACATTTTTTATATTTTTTATTTGGTTTAAAATATGTTTAACCTTTGAGATCCCCTGAGAAGGAAAATGATGTTGTGTATCAATTGAACGGATATATGTTTAGAGCTCAGAGAATGTGTGAAAGGTAGAAGAGATGGTGCCAGCATTGTGTATTTTGCTGGAATTCCAGAGAAATGTAACCGGTAACATGATACATATAAACTCTACTCTGCTGTGATTAAGACATATATTTATATTTATATTGATAACAATGTATTTTGTCTATATATTAGATATGTGTAATGCAACTGAATTTGAATAAGCACACTCAAACTTCAATACATCTTTGCAGGCTTTGAAAAAAGAAAACAGTGACTTGAAAGCAGCATTGAACAGGAATAAACAGGTATGAAAAGTATTAATATCTTGACAAAGATAGCGGTTCAGAAGAAATCAGTGATTGCCCCTTATTTCTTGTATAACGTAATTCTTTTGATTTTCAGTAGAATTGTTATTTCCTTTCATAGTTTAACTGTACTGTTCTTATGGATATACTCCTGGCCTGTATTCTCAGGTTCTCTTTCTTCTACAAATAGTAGAGAAAAAAATAAAATCATGAAAATTATGCTGAAATTTTAATAGTAGACACCATGTTGAATCTCTTCATAGTCTTGTATCCACCACATCAAACATATTTACATCTCGTCATACTGTAAATCATGGACAACATGATAAGATTGAATGATTTTGTAAATTCCATAGAATCGAATGGAGGCCCTAGAAAGCTCCAAGCAGCAAGTAAAACAGCTTGAGAACACCATAGAAGAACTGAGACAACAGGTAAATTATTCTTTTCATTATAACTCATGTATCATAACAGGCCTACTCCATTGGAACTATCTTGAATGTTTCTTAGTATGTTCATAAAGGGGTTGCTTGGTATTGTTGACTTAACACTATCTTGATAAGCTGTATTGTTGAAAAACATGAGATTACAGCATCCTGATACTTATTTACATGTAGGATAGGAAACAAAAATACTACTACTGAGGACTTGACTCGAATGTGTTATATTTTGGTTTAGATATATTGTTTTGATAATTTTCTTACCACATGAAGTTTACATTATTACCTAGTTGTTTCTTTTTTTAATTATAAAAAATTCAGTCTAAAAGAGAGAGTCTCATCAAACACAATGCCACACAAATCACTGAAATTCGGCACAAAGTTCCCATGCTCAATCTCTTCCCCCTGTAATAAATTTAGTATTTTATTTGCCAATACATATCCCAATTACCATTCAAGCGTAGCAATCTTTTTTCTATAAATCTATTAATTTTTTTTCTTTGATATGATAAATGAGATAAGAAGATACTTAACACAGTGTGTGCATGTGTGCTATTGTTTCATTTGCAGACAGCAAACCGTGAAGAAGTAACAAGATTAGAAGAGGATAAATCTATGTTAAACAAAGAACTTGCCACCATCAGACAGGTAAAGCACATTATGTCAACTTATTCCTTTTCCTGCTTTCCTTCCCATTACATTTTCCTTCATATAATATAATTTTGCCATTAAAAGCCCTATTAAAGGCAGCATTTTTGTTATGCTGGTTAGTCCAATTTAAAAATTGATTTACATTTTAATATGGGAGAGAATTTCAAAATAATGAATCTGACATTGCAGATCCTAGTGTTGTCAATTTGTGGATATATAGATACATAGAGCTCTGTTTGATCCATTAACTTTCATATTTCATCTATAATTTGCTTTTTTTTTCTTTGCTAGGCCTATACATCTACATCAGAAGAAGCCAACAGATTGCAGGTTTGTACCAAGAGGATATTATTTTTTATGATTAGCATCTTAATCCTTGTATTTATCAAAGTGCAAATGTTTTTAATGTTGCTAGACATATAGTTTATCAATTATTACAATCTTTTACCCTGAATTAATATTAGATATGATGAAAGAAATCTACAACTAAAACCTGTAAAAGCTTTGGGGTTTTAATTGACATGATAGTCTCTCTGAATGATGAAGAAAGAAGACTTTGATATTCATTTATATTTGAACATGACGATCAGATTACAGTCATTTGTACTAAGTAATAAACATACATTCATACTTGCTGTTACTATGAAGAATGTTTATTACATCTGTTTTTTATTTATTTGTTTAAACTGGGCCAAAATTATTTCAGAAGAGGATTTATTTCATATTGCGTACATGTCATGTAAACTGTAAAGAAATGGTGGGTTGCAATAAATCCCGGAGTTAATAGTTCTCTTACCTTTCCACTGCACTAGAAAGAAATACCAAGTATAAGGCTAGAGTCATTACATTTTGCTAATATAAAGAAAATAACAAAATGTATCAACTCCCACTAAGAATCAGCTTAAGTCTAATACCCCATGCAAGTTAGAGTGAATAATTGGTCCTCAAGTGTAATTTCCCTGGCGATATTGTCAGAAGAATTTCCATATTAATGGCATGATTATAAAGTATTGGTAACATGAGGGTTACAGTGTACGATTTGTTGTAATCCCAATGGACAGACTGCATCAATCACCACAAAGAACCAGCTTGAGTGTACCCAGCGTGAGTTAGAGGAGCTACAGCTAGCGCAGAGTAAACTAAGCAGTGAGAGAGATGAACTACAGGGTCAGTTCACTGAATGCCTAACAGCCAACGCTACCCTAGGAGACCAACTCAGAGCAACAGAGAAAGAGAGGGATACTCTGCAGAAAGAATTACAGGTAGAACACTTCTGTCAAGACTAGAACCAGAAAGTTCATGCTAATTTATCCATTATTCACTTTTCAAACCATTTTGTATAGTTTTACGAGTTGGTCCGTCTAGTATGGATATTTTTGTCCATGCAGAATAGCAAATAAAAGCTATCGGTGATGAGAATGTGCAAACAGTAACCTTAAATATCTTATTCATGCATGCAAGTTTCTTGTTTTACAGCGGTTTAGTGGATTTTATGTAGAATTTATGTAGAATTTATGTAGGATTTACAATGCTCCTGTTATGTGTTGTGTGTCAAACGTATTGCTTTCATAATGTAGATCTGACCTTAATTTTTCTTTGTCGCGTTTGTGTTAATAAAACGTATTTAATAATTTTCATTTACTTTTGTTATTAGGAAACAAGCAAGATAGCTGATAAGAGGAAAAGCATGTTGGATGAGATGGCCATCCAGACGCAAACTATCAGAGAGCAACATAAAGAAGAAGTGGCTAATATGACATCTAGTCATCAGGTATACTTAAAGATGAGCTTGAGTTCTAGTAATGATAGAAAATAAATTCTCACAGAATCCAACAAAACTTGCACTGAATGTTCAAGATTACAAATACGATTTTGGTAGAAAATGTATTGGGGCTGAGTAATGAGCATAGAAAGATAAGGAAATCGGGGTAAGTATAGGCCCAACTCCATGTACTTAACACAGGTCACAACAAGTTTTTTGTGAGGTTGTTTTTATTTTATTGGCTCAAACAATATACTGCTTACTGCAGGATAAACGATCCAGAATGAATTGTAGCCATGTTCTCTCGACATACAATGCCCATACCAGAGCTCATGATTAGCTTTAATTTTTATTATTTCTTTCTAGTTATTCTTCTTTACTTATTTTTTCTTTAAAATATTGTTCACTCTTACAGCAACAATATAATACCATTATTTGTCTGTTCTTTGTTAATCATTTCTTGTTTGCAGAAAGCTCTAGATGACATTAAACAACAACTTCAAGATGAAAAGGTAATCCCTTGCTTCACCCTTCTGTAATCGACTATCTTATTTCTAAAAGATATCTTCTATGTAGAATCTGTCTATAGTAGTACATTTCTTCAAAATTCTCTAATTTGTCAGTTGAGCACTGTCCCTCACATGGCATTCAGATTAATTTTAGTATTGTCTACTTTAAAATTGTTAAAGGTAGTTTATGTTATAAACATTTAGATATAAAAAATAAAATAAAAACCCTCATCTGAAAGATTAAAGTTCACAGGGGAAATGAAAGTATCGTTGCAAAAGAAACTTTCTTAGTATAAATCTATATTGGTCATATTTGCGAGGAGATTTTGAATCTAATTATTGCACCTTTGTATTTCAGCAAAAGAGGAAAGAACTGGAGCCTCTGAAGGAGCAGGTTGTACAGCAAGAGGCACAGATTGAATCACTGGAGAATGCTAAGGGATGGTTTGAAAGGAGAATGAAAGAATTAGAGGTAAATAAACAAAACACTTCCTTCCTGTTCCATCTACCATTACCCTTCTCCCACCCCCCCCCCCCTCCCCTCTCTCTCTCTCTCTCTTTCTCTTTCTTCTATTTTTTTCTCTGTCTCTTTCTGTCTCTCTTTCTATTTCTTTTTCAGTCTCTGTCAAAGTCTGTCTGTCTATTTCTCCCCTCCATTCCCCCAATGTTTTGTTGTTCCTTTGCTATTTTTTTCCTTCCTCTTCCTTCTCTCCCTCTCTCTCTCTCTCCCCCCCCCCCCTTTCTCCTTTTCTCTCTTGCCTTCTAACATCACAAATTATTTTCCCCATTTTGTTTTCCATTGTGTTTTGTTTCATCTTTGTTCCCTTCATTTTCTTTTCTTTTCCTTTTGAGTGGTGGGGGAATGGTATTCCTGTTTCCTGCTCTATGTCACCATTGCTGTCTCACTCTCCTTTATTCAACCCATCTTCAAATGTAATTTGCCAATTTTGTTGAAATTTTCCCTTGTGGAGATTTATACCTTTTCCCTACACATGCATTTCCCATGGATGTGTTCTCTCATTTAAAAAAAAGCACTGAATGAGGATGTTGATATTGATTGACAAGAAAATAATTTGTCAAAGCTCTGAAGTTTTTTTTTTTTAAAGCTCTTATATGTTTTAATTGACGATAACCCCTCTTTGTGTATAGATAAAAATGATAAGGTCCTAAATTGTTGACATCATTTATTAGCAATCAAGAATTAGTATATGAAATTCATGACTGTGTTTTAAATCATCTTATGTAGGAGGAACTAGAAGGGACCAAAGAAAAACATATAGAAGATATCAAAGATCTAGAAGCCAAGCATCAACAAGAAATATTGGTAAGTAGGCTCCCTCCATTCTAAATAGCAATAACATAGCCCATTGTTTGTCTAAACTCTGGATGAAATAGACAACTTTATCGCAAGTCTTATGTTGCAGAATCAGATCAACACAGTGTATTAATATCTTTGTGTTATATTCTTACATTTGTTATGTCTACTGTAGGTGTTATTTGAAGCTACTTGAAGAGAAATACATGTAGCACCTGAATTTACTATTTGTTTAATGTGAACATTAATTTTGATTGTGTTTGATAATCGCCATATTGTTTTATCATGTACTTTATAGATGAAAATGTCATGGAAGGAATGTTTATGATGAGGATAAGGCCTTATTGTTGTGTTGACATGCAATACCATTTATAATTATTCTTAGGATCTACGAGAGGAGCTAGCTGAGAGAGATGAAGCTATGGAGAAGGCTAAAGAAGAGATAGATGGGCGTCAAGCCACCATTGAGAAAATGCAACAGGATGCCAAGGATTCTATAGTAGATCATAAACTCAGTGAGAAGAAAAGAGCAGGCATGGTGAGTACTATATGAAGGGTTCTCAATCTTAAGACAATCTTAAGAAATATCTGTTTAATTTAGCTTATAATTGATTACCATAACCTTTCATGTCTGTACCTTTCCTATCGCACTTTGTATAAATGTATCATGTATGTATTTCATCTCTTGCACAAGCTGCGCCTTGAGCATTTGACTGTCAAGTGGATTTGGCGCCTTATAAATCATATGTATTATTGTTATTATCGGTGTTTGACATTTTCTGGTGCTAAAACCAAGCACAGGGAACTTATGACAAAAAAATACCACGATACAAGCTCAATAACTGTCAATGTATACATTGAATGCTCCAAATCATTCTAGCCTTTACAAACTACGCCCTTGTAACACATTCTTGCTGAGAAGCCTGATGTAGATGCAGCCCTAAATCACAAATTAAAAAAACAAAACAAGTCAGCATGCATGATTTAAAGTTTAGGCTAGATTAAAAAAAGGGGGATTCTCAGCTTTAACATGATATTAGAATTGAATGGTCCTTATTTACTGGAAGATGGGAATGAATACCCAACCCCAAAGAATATATTTTGGGTGAACAAAATTATCATATTTGATGTGGGAATAAGTTACAGACACTGTTCATCAAAAAATAGTAAATAGGACAGCAGTGAACATTGAATCCACTCAATGCAACTCTCATTCTTTCCTCCACAGCTGAAGGATCTTCAGAGGCAATTAAGACAAGAGAAGAAGAGAGCGGGTAAACTACAGGAGAGACTTCAAGAGGTCTTAACACAGAGTAGCCAAGGACCTCAGGGTCTAGATGCACTCTTCTCACATCATACCTACGTTGATAGGACTAAACATGATACCAGGTAACTATCATCTCTGGCTCTACAAACATGCTCATTTGCTCCATATCACTTTCCTACACTGTACCTAGACCTAACCACACAGGGTAGTCAAAGACCACAAGGTCTAGATGCACTCTTCATACATCATACCTATGATTTGAAGATCTAAGACAAAACCCTTGCGATAATGTCTCATGTTCAAATTCCTACATTAATTGAATTCTTAACTTTAACCCTAGACAAAAAAACTATACCTTACCTTAACTCTAATCCTTACCCTAACCCTAATTCTAACTTAACCCTATTTAGCCCGGGCTATTTTGAAACTGCATAGCCCAGGGGGGGGCTTCTCAGGCCCCCCCCCTATGATCTCGGCCGTGAAACGCCCGATCGCCGCGAAAATTTGCATACATGTCAAGTGAAGTGTATAGAATACTATGGTAATTTCAATTTTTTGAAAAATTCACTCATTTGCATATTTATGGTAATTTATGCAAATAAGGTCATAAAATTCACATTTTTGCCCATAAATCAGACATTATTCATATTTAAGCATTCTTTCTCACTACATATATTTGTTAGACCATTTGGAATAATAATACAACACAAAAAATTGAAAAACCAGGGTTATTCCTTATGTTATCTATTGTTTTGATAATTTCTTATGTATTTCTTTGTTTTTTTTAAGTTATGTATTTTATTGTTTTTGTTGTTTTATTTCATTTCCAACTATAATTCAACTATTTTGACCCAAAAATAAACACCTAAACTATAAACAAGACCAAATAACCAATGTTTTATCTCTTTATTTGAAAAATGAGATTTACATATGTTTTGTACACAAATCACAAAAATGAGCGATTTTCGGGCTGACATGCAAAGACAAAAGGACACGTGACTTCGTAATGGTAGGTCCGATTTTCGAAAAATTTCTTTCAAAAGATGCGCAAGACTCGAAAGAAAAAAGTCACAAAATTTCAGTGCAAGATTTTCTTGCGTTAAAAAATTATCGCGAAAAATGTCGAGGGGGGGGCTTCTCAAGCCCCCCCCCGGGCTAAATAGGGTTAAACCCTAATTACAACCCTAACCCTATACATTTGATGACATAAAGCCTGGAGCGATTGTTGCCAGGGCATCTGAACATTCATCTCTCAATTTGCTACTGCGATCATCTCAGAACGCTGAATAAGGATTTTACTTTTAGGTATATAATTTTATTCAGTTGCTTGAATACATAGTTGCATTTCAATTTATCATTCTGATTTATTTTGATGTTTCATTCAAATCTCAACAGTGCATGTTGTCACATTGTTATAACATACATATAATACATTAAAGGCTACTGCTGCATTTGTAAAAGTTTTTGTTGTTGTTATTTTTATAAGGCAACTAGAAATGTAAACTGACTGAGACTTGCTAAAGGTGTATGTTATTGAGCAACTGATTTTAGCATGTACCTGTACCAACCTCAATGAGCATTTGCTTGTCAAAGATGAGTTCATTGAGGTCATTAACCTTGTCAGAAGCTTTTGAGTGGCACCTTGTAGTTTACACAGGAAATACCAAGATAGTAGTTTACACAGGAAATACCAAGATAGTAGTTTACACAGGAAATACCAAGATAGTAGTTTACACAGGAAATACCAAGATAGTAGTTTACACAGGAAATACCAAGATAGTAGTTTACACAGGAATTACCAAGATAGTAGTTTACACAGGAAATACCAAAATAGAATAATACACCCCCAGGTGCTTGACAATAGTCATGTTCAGATGGGGTTTTGCTAGTGGCATAAGTTAATCCCTGCAGCAGTAAATAACTCGTGTATATATCACTTAACACCATTAGTTCTTACATGTTCTTACTTGGACCAACTTGCCACGATTAAGTTAACACGACTTCCACCGACCAGCGTTAATTACGCAGAGCCATCTATACACATCTACACAGACTTTGGCCAACCCGGTTCGAGTTGGACACAATATGGCAACTACTGCTTTGTTGGGCAAGCACAAAACAAAAGAATATACTCAATGTTGTGATGTGAAACCAAGTTGGCCAAACTCTGTGTATAGATGGCTCGTGAAAGTGTAAGTGAGAGCATCCACACGGTCAACTTACGCTACCCTCTTATCGTGTTAGCGAGTTACTCCTGGATTTTTCCAGGAGTAAATAGGTCAGAGTAAAGGTAGGCGCAGCTAACACGATCATCGTTCAGACGGTCACTACCACGACCTTTGCATCTACCTCACCATATTTACCCGACTAGCTCTTAACATGACCTTTACCCCAAGGTAAATTGCCTCCGTCTGAACAAGACTAATGCTATGCTTTGATTGTTGATTTCATAATGGAGAAACTTACATGATATTAACTAGGAAACTATTCTGTCGAAATTGGTAAACAAGAAGGAATGTGCAATGGACAATGTGAAATTTACAGTCAGTGGTATCTAGAGCATACATTTTACATTTCGGTAGCACTTCGCAAACAACAAAATTAAGAAATTTTCTTACAGTGAACTTTTATCGCAACTAAGTTTGCAGTAAATATTGCTAATATTTTTGTCTTTCTTTCATAACCTACAGTAGCGTTTCTTCTCTCAGCAATAGCGGGACTGGTAGAGACTACAGTGACTTTGCACCTGTAAGTTAATTTTTGTATTTCTTATCCATCACATCGTAACTTAAGGGGTGATGAATTTCATTTTATTTCTTAACCTTCTTGTCCAGTATTTTGTAGGTAAAGGACAACACTAGATTGTCAGTTTGTTTTGCATATGAAGAAATACCTTTCTGAACAGAAAATGCAAGATATTATAAAACAATAGTTTCACTTCATAAAATACACCAAATGAACTACACTTAAAGTTGGCTGACTCCTCCAGTAGACGGCCACACCAGGATCTGCTCCAACGTTTGTCATGATTTCTGAAGAATTTTTATGAATGAGTCTCACTTTTTGTTCTGCTTCATTACAGTCTCCTAATGATTCCATGACTGCTGCTCTTAGTGAGGAGACAACAGAGCTAATATCCAAACTTACACAGATCCAGCAAGAAAACTGGCAACTAGAAGAAAAGGTAATCTAAAAGTTTGTTTTAGTTTAATCTTCCTATATTATGGATACAGGGTAAATTTAAGACAATCGTATAAAAATCAAATTGTATAAAAATACTGATGGATAGTTTTCATGATTAGAGATTATAATTTGTATTGATTTTTACATTTTTAAATATTTGTATTATTATTATAATTTGTTTAATATAATTTTATTTTGAAGTCTTTGAGTGGTATCCATACCATGTTAGACCCTTTAGTTGTAAAAGTAAAATGTAGCTTCAGTGATATGTATAACATGTGTTGTTGTGTGGATACAGGAGTGGTTTTAATTTTCATAAAAAACAAATATATTATGTCATTCATTCCTATTTCAGATTCATACCGGTAGTTCAAATTTATTTTAACCTTTGCATTTGAATATAATCTTCAATGCTCTTAATGGTATGATGCTATTATTGAAATGAAGAGACATGTGACTTCTCAGCTGATTAAATGATTACATAATCATGGACTGTGATTTTTGACATGTGTTGCTGAAATAGGTACGTCACCTTGAAGAAAGCAATGGATGCATGGCTGAAGATATCCTGAGAAAAAGTGCAATCATTGAAGCTCATGTCATGGAACGCAAAATCATTGGTGAGTTTGAGTCGGTGTCATTGATTGTTTTTTTAAAGAGAGAGACATGAAAGTGAAGAAAATGTAATGGAAGTTATAGAAGCAGATATTAATCCACCTACAATCATAACTCCAAGCCTTCCTTCACCATGGTCTATTAGTGAAGATTCACCATTCTCATTTTGGAGGTACAGGGTTTGATCAGCACTTGATGCTTCCCTCTGTGGACAAGGTACAAGATATCTTGCCCACATTTGTCCCTCTCGACTCAAGTGATTTCTTTTAAGTGGGTACCTGGCAATGCTGTGGTTATAATAATTGATTTTTGTGTTATAAGAAATACAATATGCTTTAGTACACTTCAAACCAGCTGCAGTCTACTGTGGCATATGTGAACAACTTTCAGTGTGTTCTTGTTTGGAGCCAGCTATTAGGTCATCACATCTTTTCTTTTTTTGGGGGGAGGGGGGGGAGTGGGAAGCAAGAAACCCCAGGGTCCATCGCTGCGTAAGATGAGAGAGTTAATGAGACCATCAGAGAATGCAGAAACTTACATGAACGTGAAACCAAAATTGTGTTTGATATGTAGACCCAGCCAAGATTCAACTCATTTCCGAGTGTATTTGTAGAATGTCTACAATCATATATCTATATTATTTGGACTGACCTAAGGCCAACTCATTATTATAGTATGAGAAGCATTGCATAAGATGAGAGAGTTAATTAGGTCATCAAGGGAATTCAGAACTTGTATTCTTGAATCTTGATACGAAACGTATGAGTTATATTTAGATCCAGTCTAATGGAATAGCCACAATGTAGCAATATAAACCACATTTGTACTGCAATAGAAATTACGTACATGTACTTGTGACGCTAAAGATAGTTTTTGTTATGATTAGACCCAGCTAAGGTGAACTCATCTCCAGGCGATGGTAAGCAAGAGACCAAGGGACCATCATTACGTAAGATGAGAGAATTGATGAGGTCATCAAGGGACGTAGAGGAGGAGAGTCAGAGAGAGATGAATCAGAAGCTACAAATCATGCTGGAGGAGACCATCACTAAAAACATGCACCTACAACAGGTTTGTAAAGCACTACTAGTGTCAATTTGCCACTCTCTACCCCGGTGTTAAATGGGTATTGGTACACAGGAATTCCTTGAATGCTGTGATCACTGAAATACCTAACCAAGCCAGAGCCAGGATAATATTTGAATGCCTTGAGAACCTTGCATGGTGGATATGTGCAATATTAAATATCCAATATCAACACTATTATTATTTGTAGATTTTGTAATCTCCACATTTCCCTCAGTTGTATGATACATGTTCTAGCAAAAAATGCTCTGTGGTCAATATTCTACACAAGCCAAATTCTGAACTTCATTCCTAAACCCTCTCTTAATTGGAAAATAAAGTCGCAGTGACGTCCGGACGTCGTCCGGATGACATTTACCCACTTCCAATTAAGATGCGTCAATCGGGGTAACGTCCGGACAATATCGAGGTAAATCTCACCCTAGTCGAGCCAGGGTTGTATCGAGGTGTCATCCGGACGTCGTCAGGACAACATCCTGATAGACGGCCTATTAATACACTTGTGGAATGTTACCCGGGTAAATTATGTCATCGCCGTGAATAAATGTATCCCTGTACACAGCGTGCGCCAGCTGATTGCCATTAGACAGGTGGCGGTTGTTATGGTAACCTACCCGGGTGAGGTTTTTGCGGATGGCCGATTAAGACGGTGTCCAAAAGCTCACCCCGTGTTTTACGTTCAGACCCCCCACTGTTTCTCATCCACATATCGCTCGGGTGAGATAAAAAAAGTTCAATTAAGACGGGGCTCTAGACCCAATAGAACACCTAACCCCCATCGGAACCTTAACCCAAACCCAAACATATCCTTATCCCTAATCCTAACCCTAACTATACCCCCAAACCCTGATATTATAACTCTTTTGCAACCCTAGCCCTCACCCTTCATCTTTTACAAAATGAGGCCCTTAGACTATGTCAATCTATTACTTTCATGAAAGTTTCTTTGTATTTGGTTTTTATCTCCTGCAGGATATTGAGATGCTATCGAGTGAGGTAGTGAGGCTGAGCAAGCTGGTAGGATCATCTCAATCAGGTACTCCATCACCAGTAGAGGAACATCAGGGTAAACTTCCTGGAGGAGCAACCTCCATGGCAACCGCATCATCAGCATCACCGTCGTCATCATCATCGCGGCCGGTATCATCATCACCGCCATCGTCATCATCATCACAGCCGGTACCATCCTCATAGCAGATGGCTGGCTGTGGTTGAGGTTCTTGTCATGTTGACATTTTTTTTTAAATCAAAATATTGTCTGTTTGGAGGCAGAAGAGTATTAATTCATATCATTTGACACAGAGTTAACACACTTTAGTGGCTCCAAAGAGACAATTATGGAGATTGTTGCACAGTTATTAGCAATTTGAGGTAGGAATACATGCTTGCTGGTTTACAGTTCTTGAGATGTGTGGAATGAACTGTCTCATCCATCACAAACCTAATATACAACTCCTTCCAGAGATGATCTTCTACTGCCGATGTGTTACATGCATGCTATTAAAGAGAAAATGCATTTCAGCTAAAAAAATATCAAAGTTTAGGAAGTGCCAATGCTTTTCCTTGTTTTTTATAAAGCTTGCCACATACTTCTTGTCAGCTGGTAAACATACAAAAGAGCAATTAACTTTTTTTATGTGAGACATTTCAGACACATAGGCTTATTTATTTGCCTTGCCGGGCAAATAATCTGTGATTAATCAGGCAATTTCATGAATTTAAAACTGTTTTCAGCATATTTTATTCCTAATCTTAACCACGTTTCACTGCAATAGCACTTAACGCATCTTCAAATTTGTGATGAAAAAGTAAAACCTGAGCTCTAAGAAATAATAAGAAATTGATATGGATAAATGTAGAGGGTATTGAAAAATTCTACTGGCAATTCAAATTTCTCTCTGAAAAGAAAAAAGAAGATATTTAGTGTAAATAATGATAGGATACAGGTATCGCTTCATGTTTTATGAATTTTTGTATTAATTCAAGCTTTAATTTCTTAATCTTGTGTGACATAGCATTCCAATAATGTTGATAACTTCTGTGACATCTCTTTCATTGCATGCAGCCTTTGCCCTGCCTTTGTTTCATCTTGTTTTATTGATCCAAGCATGTATGACTTGCATGAGGGAAAAATGTTTGCTAAAATATGTCTTAAATGTTTATGTCTTTCCCTCCCTGTAAATCAGTTCAATTACATGTTAATGTGATGTTAGCTTTGATTTAACTTGCAGGGCACTATTTTGCCTGTCATGTTTTCCCAATTTTTGATATGGCAATAATCAAGTTCCTCAGCTCCAGTGTAGAATTGATATTTCCTTGACAAAAATTCAATAGCTTTTCCAGTGATTAGAAACAAACTGCAATAATTATATGTACATCAATGACACAGAGTTTTAAGGCATAATGTTGAGATGTACATAATGTCTATTGTATGTAGATAAGGCTGCTCAATGTGTAATGCTACGTTTACACTATGTTCCCGGCGGCCACGGCAGCCCCGTTTGCGCGAAACGTAGTGCGCCGTGGGATTTTGGCCCTTTCCCCCCTCTGTGTTCAAGTTTTGTTAGGTCTTGCCAAGTTTTCTCACGGTCTATCACGGTTTCCGTGACGGGCCGTGAAAGGGAAAGGGGCTGCTGTCCCGGAGGCTCCAAGGCGCACTACGGTTCGCTCGCGGTCTAACACAGACGCCAGTATGTTCCCTCCCGGTCCGTCACGTTCTGTTGGGGTCCCTCACGTTTCTCACGTTCTGTCAATGCTTTGTACGGATGAAACGTGGACGCAGGGCAGCTTTGGAGCACGATTGTGCCGGCGGTATAAAAAGAAGGTCTCCCAAGCAATAGCAATCATGGTATCCTGAGATCTCGTGTTGTGTCAGACCGTAGTAGAACGTAACGCGACGTAGCGTGCCGGGTGCTTTAAACCGTCCCACTACGGACCACCTCCAAGTTCTGTTACGGCCTGTTACGTTCTGTCACGTTTTGTTGCGCTCACCCCGTTTACCTACGGCCTACTAGGTTTCTCATTCCTACCGCGACTGCCGTGGCAAATTTTTTGACAGTTTAAAAATCTGGCCCGGCATCCACGGCAATCACGGCTTGTCACGTTTGCTCATACGGTCCCCCACGTTGTCTCACGTTCATCCCGTTTCGTCCACGTTGTCCTGAAATGTGGTTGCCGTGGCCGCCGGGAACATAGTGTAAACGTAGCATAACGTAATACGAACATCCTGCATTTAACACAGTGTAGCAAGAATGGGTTAATGTGAGTTGGTCTAGTGATAAACTTATTGGTTCGCCTGTATGACCCAGAGTTTTAGTCCCAGTCTCGTCTTGCAGGTGGTGATGTTGGGCAAATTCTGTGAAACGTCTCCCATACCACGTATTTCTTTCATGTGAAAAATGAAAAGAAAAAAACCCAACTTGTTACAACTTTTGATGAATGATGATAATAACAGAAGGAACAATAATTTGCCTCTGGTCATATCAAGTTTTCTTCTTTATGGAATAAATACATTAAAAGAAAGCTCATGTTAAGGTTGGTCCTCAGAGTAAAAAGCCAGATCTGATTGACAAAATTTGTTAAAACACACAAGCTACATATATACACACAAATGAGCACATGCACATGGATTCATTTTAATGTTTTGTCAAATGTACACACCTAGACTAACAGAACTGTTTCTGTAGGCAAGCAAATCAGATTTTTGAGCAGACTCAGAAATCATGGTTCCATGATTTTGAACTGCCATTTAACATGGTCGAAGCGAAGATAGTTGGTTTTTCTTCCTGAACCATAAACATACCTAGCCAAATCGTATCTCATGCAAGATATTCCATCACTGCACCGATATTTGCAATTTAAAGTGGTATTTAAACTCATAATGTGACTTTCGAAGGCCCATGTTACCTGTATGCAAAGCTAGCTGCACAAGAAGTAATAAGCAAGACTTGAAAGCGGAGGTAAATGTGTAAATGTGCTTCCCTTAGCAATGTGATATTCAAATGTGAAAAATAAATGAATGAATAAACATAAATATATGTAATGTCTATACTATATCATGTTCATGGAGGTAAAAGGTATTCATTATTTGTATATGATAGATATCACCTATTATGTAAAGTTATAAAGTTTATTCATACCACCAAATAATTTCAGATGATATATATTGTATATTGCATTCCAATCTGGTGTATGATAGTTGAGGTATATAAACAGATATTGACCATTGAGAGACATAAGGGTCATGGCTTGTGTATTTATACTGGATTAACACCCTTCTGGCTCTCAACAGATGATACATATATATATATATATATATATATAGATTGTTATTCAGTCATGGTATGAAATGAATTAGTATTACTATATAGATGCAATGTACTTGTATGTAGAATTTGGTAGAGCTATAGCCATATTTGATTGATATTTCAATTTCATTATACAATAGTATGCTTTTTTGACATATTTATTTATACTTCCTGATTGGAGAAAGAAACAGAAAATAATTGTCACATGAATTCCTAGTGAGCCATTATTATTATTTACACAAGAATGCATTGCGTTTATAGAAAAGCTGTAAATTCTGAAATATAGCACACATTTGTAGTACTACTAATAATAGAGTCACATTCATGATTATGTTCAAGCCAGCAAGCTATAATTTCCTTGGTTTAATAAACAGTAGTAAAATAGATGAAAGTAGGAAAATGAAGTAACTTGCAATGTGTCTTGCCATAGATAGATGTAAAACTGTAGTGTTATTGTTCAGTTTTATCTTGCTTAAATGTAAACTAGACAGCCTATTTTGGATACTTATTTATTATACATTAAACAGAGAGGATATGTATAAACCATTGTACTAGACATTATCAGTACCAGTATCAGTTGTATAGATATATACTATCATTATAGAAGGCATACAGAAGTGAAGCATGTTTGTGAGGTGATGAGTTTATTACTTCATACATATGTAGTGGATATAATCTTAAGACAAATATCCAGTATGTCTTATGCTGATATGAGCGGCGTGTTACTTAACCATTGTGTTACAGATTTCTGGAGGGGTCGAATAAAATAATTTGGGTGATCAGTGCATGAATTAATATATGATTATTTTTTACTAAAAAACTTGTACAAAACATATAGGGTTGAGGTACACCACTCACATCACATAATTAATATTTGACAACAAAATAATGAAAGGAGTATTATTGTATTAGTATGACTTCAAGGATTATATTTTTGACTCGAGTCCACTAAAATTAGTCATGCACAGGATATGTACATGAAGATGTTTTGTTTAAAATCACCTCCTCCTCTTCCCCTACCTCCCTCCCCCCCCCCCCCAAAAAAAAAAAATATATATATATATATATATATATATATATATATAACAACAAATGAAATTATGATAATGAATAATAATGGTTAAAAAATAACACCCTTAAATGTACCCCAAACCATGTTGGAATCATTTAATTGTATGTGACCCTTTCATGCTGTTTATTATCATTAGTTCTGTTGTGGTACATTGCAATGAGAATATTATAGTCATATCATTGAAAAGTACATTGTTATTGCATTAGTTTGAGTAAATTCATTATGCATCACCAGATTGATACACATTGGAATATGATGCTTTCTTCTTGCGTTTTAGATATGAATGAGTACTGTGAGAATGGGTGGTATCTACCAATAACGTTACAGTTACAGTTCTTATGCTAATGATTCTACTTAAAGCATAAGAACAAATCTGAAAATAATGGTTGTGAGTGTGTGAGAGATATGGGAGCTTGTGTGTTTCTTATATGTCCAGTTTTTGTCTCGCCAACGAAAGGTGGAGTGGAGATTAAAGGATCCAAATGGTGTTCGTCTTTCTTCTGTCAAAAATTTTAAATAACCATTTGTCCTATCATGACCAAATTTGGGTCAGAGATGCACTTTGGAGACCTTCACACTATGGTACTGTCAAGGATGATATGTTAAGGTCAAAGGTAATTTGAAGTCACATCGAGGGGGTGGGAAAAGATAGCCAAAGAGAGAAGTTGAGGGAGGGATATAGAGGGATAAAGATAGAGAAAAGGAAAGTAAACACAAACATCACAACATCATATAGGAGACACAAGAGGAGGATGGTTCGAACAATCCCTTCAGGTGTAATATGCTAATATTCAAATGAGGAACATCTTGATGTTAGATTTAGTAGTGTAAGGAGGAAGTCGACTGTGACTACTTATGTCATGAAATAGGACAACCTGGAAAACCTTACCCTCATCTGAATATTACGGTTTTACTTTGCTTACACTCATGTAAGAATATTGAAATGCTCACTTAAACTGAAGAAATAAAATCGTAAGTGCTGTTGAAGTTAAAACAATGCTCCTCTAATGTCCTGAATGTGCATCCTATATGATTGGAACCCTATATTTCCTTTACTAGTTTACAACATACTATAGTTAACACTAATAATATTGTGTGAACTCTGGTCCCTTTAGAATATTGTGAGTGTGATATATATCTATGTATAAAGAGAGAGAGAGAGAGAGAGAGAGAGAGAGAGAGAGAGGGGGGGTAGAGATAGATGTCTATCTTTCTGATACTGCTGTTACTGCACTCAAAGGAAAACAAGGGTGTGTAAAAAATAAAAGAAATAGAACTAGCCTTGTCTCTTCTTAACATTACATGAAAATCTCAAAATTATTTCGGATTGGATAGGATGAACCACCTTGTCAGATATAGTATCATAGGTTGCGTTTATTGACCAAATTTTTGGCTAGAATCAGGTTTCTCAAACGCCATTCAGGCAAATTTAGAAGGTGATAAACGCAAAGCCTTTTTTAAAGGTCTTTATAGATATGGGCATATCGAAAAGACGCAAAAAGGTGTGTTTTGAATGTGACATACAGTTTTGAACCCCACATACAAATCGGACCACCCAGGTTAAGGGTTCGGAGGCTAGCGCGCGCCATGTGTTGTGTACAAGCATGTGTGTGTAGTTGACCTCCGAGAAACTGTCTGCTTCCCGGGTCAAAACAGCTGCGCAGACACATTTATTTTGAATCGTGAAGAGACGATAAACGCGACATCCCGCAAATCACTTTCGTATAGTGGGGTTCGATAGTGGGGTATGATAGTGGGGTACGATATGTACATATCTAGTGGCAAGACCCAATAAACGCGCCCATAGACTAATATGTCACATTCAAAACGCACCTTTTTTCGGCGTTTCAATATACCCATATCTAAAGACGTTTGAAAAAGGCTTTGCGTTTATCACTTTAAAATTTGCCTGAAAGACGTTTGAAAACGCTCATTCTAGGCACACAAAAAATGTAATATAAACGCACCCTAAATATAATGTACACAAGGGTGATTCCTGGGGATGTGTCCTCTACTACAGTCATCCATGCATTTCATCCACCAATGAAAAATCTCTCGATATGATTATAACTAATA